AAAAACGTAAATCCGGGTTGAAATTTTCAGTGTTCCGATATTTCTCGATGAACACAGAATCGAAGGCTCTGATACCACTTGTTGTGATTCTCGGATCAATATGAAGATTATTTGGGAGGAAAAACAACTCTATTTCACAAGAATAGAATTATAGAGAATTTACACCAAGAATTTCTCTCTACAAAAAACCTCACCAAACTCTCTTTTTGTTCTCACAATCTCTTCCTGGATTGTATTTCAATCTCTCTGGATTGATGTTTCTGTGTAAAACATAAGGCTTTATTTATAGCCTTAAAGAAGGTGGTTGGTGGTTGAATTCTTCATTCAACAATGGACGCTTCAACAATGGTGGCTTCTAGAATGGGTTGGTGGCTTCAACAATGGTGGGCTTCTAGAATTGGTAGTTGGCAGCAGCTGAACTTATCATTTGTTCCTTTCTTCTGCAACAAATCAGGAAATGACATAACAAGGAAACAAAAATCCAAAAAGAGATAACTGATATTACTACAACAAAGAACAATTTTACTTTTCTTAGCACTTATCATATTCCTATATATACCCTCCTAAGACACTGGCTAGTCATCAACAAGGCCAATCAAGAATCCAGAGAAAAACACCTGCCTTAAAACTATCCTTTTTCTTACACAAAAACTGAAAAGATGAAGGGAATCATCATTGCCATTGCAGTGCTGGCCATGATTCAGCTCATGTTTGAGCCAGGACAAGCTCTTACCTGTGGTCAAGTGGACGCTTCTTTAGCACCATGTATCCCTTACCTTACTCAGGGTGGTGATCCAAGTTCAGCTTGCTGCAGTGGGTGAAAAGCCTAAAAGAATTGACTCAAACCACAGCTGACAAAAGGGCAGCTTGCAATTGTGTCAAGGCTGCTGCTAATAGGTACGCGAACCTTAAAGACGATGCAGCTCAAGCTCTTCCCACCAAGTGTGGAGTCACTATGGATACCCCTATCTCCAGAACTGTTAACTGTGATATGTAAGTTACTCTTTTTATGCATTTAGATTTGAGATAAAAGTTTAATTCACTATTAAAAAGTTTCTTCTCTGACTTAAAATCTTTTTCCGCTTTTTCTTTTCCTTTCTGTGGACAGCATCAATTAAAAGACAGGAGGAAAACAAAGAGCATCTGCAAGAAAATAAAGAAGGATGACTTCTTAGTGAATCCTTATATTTCTTTTTGCCTATATTGTACTTCTTCTCTTGTAGCGTAAATAATGGTTTTGGACTCAGTGACATTGGAGTAAGAGTGTACTGTGGGCCGGGCCCGAACAGGATCGGACCGGGCCCGCGGTCCTAACGGGCCTGGTGGGCCGGTCTTAACGGTTCTCTAAAGCCCGTGGCGGGCCGGTTCTTCCTAGAAAGCACACGAGCCCGGGACCGCTAAGTCCGGGACCGGCTGGCAGGCCTGGGCATGTCCTAATGGGCCTCGCGGGCCTAACGGCTAGTTTCTATTTAAAAAATAAAAAATAAAAAATTCCAACGGTCAAAATTTGAAAAGTAGCCGTTTGGGCTGCAATTTTGACCGTTTGGATGTTTAGAAAATAGCCATTTGGCCC